GCGTCCAGCCATGTAAGCCTTTCCGGGCTCGGAGTCGTCGGAAACTCCACTTCCAAATATTCGATAAGGCTTTCCTCTAAATTATACAAATAAAAAATAAACAAAAAATATTTATATTATCAAAATCACGCAATGGACGCCGTTTAACTTTTTTTTTGCATTAGATTTCTGTAGTCTTTTTTTTTGTCCTTAATAAATGAAGAATTTTTGATTTTGACGTTTCTTCATGTTTTAACTATTTTCGTTCCTTTGCTTTTTGCGCAAATCTTGTATGTGAGAGTAATTTTTGATAGTTCGCTCTTTTACTAGCTTTACTATCAAAAAGTACGGGAACGAACCTTATATCAGTATAGGGCGAACGAGCGTTGTGTATAATTTTTTTGTGACATAAGGATCAACGAACTCTTTACTTCATCGTTTAATAAACCCAAACACTGACTTGGCTTTGTCTATTGTTACTGAAATGTGAGAATTAAAATTCAGATTACGATCCAAAAGAACTCCTAGATCCACAAACCCAGTCGTTAAGTGTATAATCAGTATCAATTAACCTCTTTCTTGTAAATCTCATGAGTTTGCATATCTAGTCATTTATTTCCATAAGGTTAATATTACACCAATTCGTAAACGAATTCCAATCATGTTGTAACAAATCATTACTTGAGATGTCTTAGAAATAATTAAACATCATCGGCATACATCAGGATATATGAAAACTTTATTGTTTGAGGTACGTCATTTATGAATAAAGAAAGTAGAAGAGGACCTAGATGGCTGCCTTGTGGCACTCCAGAGGAAACTACAATACTTCTCGATATCGTATTATTACATTTTACTTTTTGTCCTATGTTTTGGATATCAAGAAATCCAGTTGATATCCCAGTAAATCCCAGGCACTCAGGTTTTAATTGTAACAGCTTGCGATTGACTTTATCAAATGCTTTGCTGAAGTCCGTGTAAGCAGCATCGGTTTGCATTCCTCGAAAAAATTCCCGATTGACTATGGTGGAAAAGTGTAGAAGGTTCGTTGCCGTGCAGCATTTTTCTTAAATCCATGCTGATAGTGAGATATAAGAGAACTAAAATGTGGTAAACGTTATCAGTGGTGATTTTTTCAAGGAGCTTTGGAATTACACTCAATTTTGCAATTCCACAATAATTAGCAACATCGTATTTATTTCCACTTTTAAATAGTGGAATGATATACGCCGTTTTCCAAATGTGAGGAAAAACAGCTTGATTAATCGAAGCAATAAACAGCACAGTTAAAGCTAAAAACAAAACTTCAGCCAAAAGGTCCAAAATCATATCCATATTTTAAATGCTTCAATCCATGTAAACCATTTTACTGTTCAACGGCGTAATTTATATTGATTGGTAAGAGTTCAATACAAAAAGGTATATGTTGTTAGAATAGCTTTCAGTTCAATATGTTGTAGTGAAGAAGTCTGCGAATAAGTTGCTTATATTAGTGTTGTCGATTTCCTCAAGGATAGAATCTGATATAATGCTTTCGCGCATTCTATCAATCCAATCTATTAGGAGCAGTGTTGCCAATTTAGCACTTTTAGTGCTAGATTTCAGACTCGTTTAGCACCAAAAAAGTTGATCTAGCACCTAGCACTTTTTTAGCATTTTTATTTTTTCGGAAGTTAGTTACGAATTTGGGTATTATTCCGATTTCACATTGACGCCTCTCTATGTTTCACGCTATAAGTTTGATTTTACAATGTTAAACCAATAAGGAAAGTAGTAAAGTCTGACTGGGCCGAATATATTATACCACTTTGGGTATATTCTACATATGTCTTTTAAGGGGACCCCCCATTCTCGGCGTCAATTTTTTTTTTTTTGATTTAATTCGAACCTACTCTAATTCTAGAATGTCCCTACAAAATTTCAAGGGAAAATCTCAAGAACTCTTGAAGATATAGCCGATTTATTGTGTCAGCATCAAGTGACGGCAAGAGTGATTCCCAACTTTAAACGCATTTTTCTCGTTTACGAGTGGCGGGCACAATATCTCAAAAACTAATAATCCCATCCGTTACCAAATTTGACACGTTTCTCTGGGAGTGTATAGCTCTCATATAAACTAGTATAAAACCAATCGGTGAAGATCTTCCTTATTTTTTAACTTAGTTTGTGGTCAAAAATAGGCGATTTAAAAAAAAAACAAAAATTCAAAGTTCCGCCATTTTGTTAATTGTTGTACGAAGTCAATAATCCTAGTTCATACGAGAGCCAGACATGTACTCTTTCTAACACCGTTGGAATTTTCGGATTCCGATGTTCCAGTGAGGAGATATCATGCCCGTCATCAAGAATAAGGACTTTTCTTCATTTTCATTTCATTTGTTTAGAGTCGTTTGCATACAATGGGACAAATGTATGTATATTGATTTAGAGCAAACTTTATACATTTTGAATAGTTCTGCATACCGAATAGGCCGAACAATTCAAAATTTAATTTCAATCAGACTCCCGTTTGAAATATATACGAAAGCTGTGTCTGCATATGCACCAATTTCAACAAAAATCGGTGCACCATATACCTAAATTCCAAGGAAAATATATATGGGAGCTATATCTAAATCTCAACTGACTTCAACGAAACCTGTTAGAGATTAATTTATATTAACTTCAGTACATTGTACAAAATTGTGTCCCAATATGACAAACTTTGGGTCTTTAGTGCATAAGCTGTGTGAACTGTGGAAAATTTCATCCAATTCTGATCATAAATGCGACCTGTACTTTGTTTACAATTTTACATCAACAGATGGACAGACAAAGGGACATGCATACATCGATTCATGCATATTCTTAAAAGCAACCATGTGTCTATCTCGTTCATTTTGTTTGTTACAAACATATGCACAAAGACGTAATACCCTGTACCTCAGTGTGGCGAGGGTATAAAATATGCCAGTACATATGTAAAAAAGTGTTAAAGTTCGCCCGGTCAGAACGTTTTATACCCTGCACTTCATATGGTTACTATAGCACCGCCTGCTTGTAGGGTTTTTATTTGGTAAAATGAAAAACCAATTTGAGATGACCCAAATCGGAAACTTTCTAGAAAGGAGTTTTTTATTCATCTGAATCTGGAATGCCAAATTATAGCCCCTTCAGAGTACCGAAAATGGGTCGCGTCCAACTTTATAATGGGGTTATGTCAAAAGACGGACCTACACTTCGGCAGGAAAAGGTTCTAAACCTTAAAAGGACGCAAATAGGATGGAACCTTTATAAGGGGGATATGTCCAAACATAGACTTATTTAGAAAATATCCCTCATAAATATATCCTACCCTAAGAGAACACAGAGAATGCGTCTAAAACTTTTAAAATAAGCCTTCACCTTGACAGTTTTTGTACATATGCCATTCCGGTATTAAAACGTTTTAGTGGGAGAATTTGACACACCATTAAAATCAAAAGTTTCAAATTATAGTCAATTTGATGGAAAACATGTCCAACGTCACCAAAATTTCGTTCTCTAGGGCCTACCCCGAAACATATATTCTTCTCGATATGTCCAACCACCTCATGCAGAGCAGTATCTTTTATCAATAGTAACGTTTATCAATATTCTCTATATTGTTCCGTACTAACAAATATATCATCAACATAAAGAATTAAACATATTATGATCCATTTCAATTTTCTTATACAATCCGTATTCATGTTTTGATCTGCAAATCCAAAAGATATAATGAATACATTATATTTTCCATTCCAAAATTTCAGCGATTGTTTCCGTCCATATAATATAACCTTGCGGAATCTCTATACAAAATTTCTTAGATCAAAAATTAACAATTGGAACAATTTACTGCTTTTCAAAAACTTCACACCCAGGACACAACTTGTTAGCATTTTTAACGACAGTAAATTGTCTAAAAACCCGGCCCGAACCATCATTTATAGCTATGTGACCAAATTGTTCGCATTTAAAACACTTACCATTGTTTGATGCTGATCTTCATGATTTCTGTCATTTTGCAACGCCGTGACTGGGGAATCAACATTTTCTGGTAGTGTCAAACCTTCCAACGGCTAACCCCATCAGTATTTTCAGTCATCATTAATTGTGAAACATTTTTTAATAAGTAGCTGTTCCACAGCTGTTTTCTTTGAAAACAGTGAATCCAAACTTTTATTTCAACAAGCCCATATTTCACTTATTTAAATGATACAATACTCATTATATGTTGGATACACAGTATATATATTTATTTAAATATTTATGTACATTCCATTGTACATACTAACAAATATATCATCAACATAAAGAATTAAACATATTATGATCCATTTCAATTTTCTTATACAATCCGTATTCATGTTTTGATCTGCAAATCCAAAAGATATAATGAATACATTATATTTTCCATTCCAAAATTTCAGCGATTGTTTCCGTCCATATAATATAACCTTGCGGAATCTCTATACAAAATTTCTTAGATCAAAAATTAACAATTGGAACAATTTACTGCTTTTCAAAAACTTCACACCCAGGACACAACTTGTTAGCATTTTTAACGACAGTAAATTGTCTAAAAACCCGGCCCGAACCATCATTTATAGCTATGTGACCAAATTGTTCGCATTTAAAACACTTACCATTGTTTGATGCTGATCTTCATGATTTCTGTCATTTTGCAACGCCGTGACTGGGGAATCAACATTTTCTGGTAGTGTCAAACCTTCCAACGGCTAACCCCATCAGTATTTTCAGTCATCATTAATTGTGAAACATTTTTTAATAAGTAGCTGTTCCACAGCTGTTTTCTTTGAAAACAGTGAACCCAAACTTTTATTTCAACAAGCCCATATTTCACTTATTTAAATGATACAATACTCCTTATTAGTTTGGATACACAGTATATATATTTATTTAAATATTTATGTACATTCCAACTTTTTATTCCTAAATATTATACATACTTTGAACACGACACTTTATTTTACCTATATATATATATATCAACAAGAATTCATATATTTATCTAAAAGCTGATGGTATGTAGTTTGGTCAAGATTTTGTTGTTCGTTGTCTATATGCATCTTTTTAGCTCTATCAAAGGCTTCTATAATGCACGACCTGAAATATAGAAGTGGAATACATAAGTAGAAAAATTGCTAATAAATTTGACGAAATTCTTGAACGTGTTTGATGAAAAAAAATTGTTCTTAAATAAGCGAGCTTAAGTTCTTAAAGAAATAAATTAAATAAAATACATATTAATTTAGAAATTACGATTACTCACGATTAAGAACAATTGTGGTATTTTAATAAAAATTAAAATATGAATGAGAAGAGTTTATTGTAGTTATTTTCATAGAAAACTGAACGTACTCTCCTCTTTGATAAATATTTATTAGATACTGAAATTCAGATGAATAATCACCCTTATTCTATTTGACGACGACGTACCATAATATCGATTTGTGTCCTTATCACGGCCAATTAATAAAGCCACTCAGGAAGCAATCGATATTGGAAAACATCTGTCAAAATTTAGACATTATTTAGGATTTTATAATGTTAAGTTTATTCATAATAAAGCAAATTTGAAAAGCTTCTGTTTCGCAGCGGTATTGCAATTTTATAACATTTTTCCCGTCAACCACAAATATCGATAAAATTGAAAACATATATTTGATGTTAAAACTATTGTAGGTATTTTACTTCTGCTGATAGTGGATGAAAGGAAAGACACTTGTGGTCTGGCTGGTGGCTTTATTGAGAGTGACTATTTACATCTTACACACTTGACAAGAAAACATAACACTAAGAATATTTACAGTCTGTGTGTATATCACACTAACCGAACTAATCGCAATTACTCGACGCATTTTTGTTGTGTGTTGGAAGTCCGTAAAGCGGACATTCAATAATTACAACAAAAACTTATGCTAACATTTTTATGTGTCGGGTCTATGGTTGCCATATACTGATTCATAAAAAACTGGACATTGCTATGTCACGGTAAATATTTGGTTTGAAGATTTTTCACCCAACAAATAAAATAACATATCAAAGCTAGTCAAATTCGCATGAAAAAAGTACTGCAATTTGAAAGGTAATTTTGGACTTAACCTCAATTTTTTAGTAGCACGATTTGCTACAGATAATTTAGTGAAAATGAGTTCACAAGTCTTAATATAGAAATTTGGGGGTATCACTATTGGTGGCTTCCCTACCAATTGACGATGTACATATCATATCTTCAATCAATATTAAATATTGTGAGCTCTATTGTGAATTCAACAACATTTTTATATAATCAAGAATTATCTCCGGGAATGTTGTTGTTGTTGTAGCAGTTTGAATGTTGAATGTTTCCTGTTATGTTTCCTCCAGTTCTGTCTCCAGATTTAGGAATGCAGCTACCTCCACTGGCTGTAGCCACAAATCTTCCGGATTAAGGTGAGTAGGTTTGGCTGGGCAATTGAACAAGTGCAGTGTGGTATGAGGGCCTGTACCACATGCTGGGCAGACATCTAGCACCTGGTCATCAATCCGTGCCCAATACGAATTGAGCCGACTGCACCACCCAGAACGTAATTGAGCCAAAACTACTCTGGTTTGTCTGGGCAGCTGACGTTCTTCAGCTGCTATGGGTGGGGGGTGAGCTCCGAGGACGGCATTCACTTTGTAACCGTTCAGCGCTGCGGCTACTGCATCTGTATGAATGCCATTCAGACCCGCTCGATAGGCAACTTGATCTAGAGGCTCCCTTTTGTATCGTTGGACCTCTCTCTCTAGACATGCAGATCCTTCCTGACACGCCTGGGCGGGGGAGTCCTATCCACCATGTAATGGTTGGGATGATCGTCCCTGAAACACCCAAGCAGGTACTGGGTGCTGACGTACGGGAAGGATCTTCGTCTCCTCATGAAGATGGTCCACTGGTGTCATGAGGAGGCACCCTGTCGCTGTCCTCAGGGCGGCATCTTGACAGGTCTGAATAATTCTCCATTGCGTATCACTGGAATTCGCAGACCACACTGGAACCGCATAGCTAGCCACAGACCGACCTATCGCTTTGTAAGAGGTCAACAAGGTTTCCTTATCTGCGCCCCAAGTGCTGCCGGCAAGCGACTTGAGGACCTTGTTCCTACTTTTCAGCTTATCGCAGATAGCTGTGGTATGCGCGGACGATTTGAACATGCTGTCAAATGTGACCCCGAGTATTTTGGGGTAGTTGGTGGTCGGAATTGTATGCCCCTCGACCTGCACATTCAACGGCATTCTCATCTCCGCAGTCCATGTGGTGAAAAGTGTGGCGGACGACTTCGAGGCGGATATTTTCATATTCCTCGCTTTGAAGAATGCTGCTAAATCTATGAGATATGCGTTCAACCTCACACATATGTCTTCAACAATGGGACCCGACGCCATAATCGTACAATCATCTGCATACGTAACGATTTCTATGCCGTCCGGAGGGCGTGGAATACCGGAAAGGTAGAGATTAAACAGTTCCGGAGAATTCACTCCACCTTGGGGAACTCCCTGTTTAACTCTACGGGGTTTGGACTTTTTGTTCCGGAACTCCACGTACGACTGGCGTCCACACATATAGTTGATTATCCAACGTTTCAAACTCGGCCGGAGGGAAGTGTTCTCAATGTCCTCAAACAGCGTGGCATGGCTGACAGTATCAAAGGCTTTTGATAGGTCAAGCGCTACCAACACTGTTCTATCGCACGGCCGGTTCTGGTTAAGTCCTCTACTTATATGCGTGGAAATGGCGTGCAACGCTGTTGTTGTACTATGTTGCTTACGGAATCCATGTTGATGATCCGCAACTGGATAGCTTTCTCTAATGCTGGGGAGGAGTAAAGCCTCAAGGGTCTTCGCTACTGGCGACAAAAGTGAAATCGGCCTGTACGATTCACCTTTGCTGGCATCCTTGCCCGGCTTCAGTAGCGGGACCACCCTGCCCATAGTCCAGGCTTCGGGGACGACGTGGGTGGCTATCGACAAGTTGAGCACGTAGGTCAAGTACTCGACTCCTGGCTCGTCCAGCTGCTTCAGCATACACATAGATATTCCATCTGGGCCCAACGCTTTAGATGACTTCGCGTTACGGATGACATATGCAACATCACCCATCGTAAACTGTGGTGGTACCTCCTCGGCTGGAAGAGATCTTATACGACGAAGTACTCTTCTCTTCGCCCTGTCGCTCTCGGGATGCTCGACAAACTGTCGGTTAAAATGACTTGCGCATCTCTTCGGATCAGTCACAGTTTCGTCGTTAAATGTGACTGAGGTCCTATCATCCTATTTAACAGGGTTCGAGAGCGACTTAACCGTTGCCCACAGTTTACTTACTCCGGTACCAATGTTGCAACTCTTCAGGTGCTCCAACCATCTATTCCGCTTGTGCTCTGCGACTAATCTGCTGACCTCCAACGTGAGTTCCCTGACCCTGGGATCTGCTGGGTTAGATCGACGGAGCTCATCACGCTCGTTTGCCAGACCAACTGCTTCTGCTGGGAAATTGGGTCTCATCTCGGGTATTCGACCAGCAGGTATAAATCTAGCAGCTGCAGCAGTGATGATGCCTCGGAATTTCCTTTCTGCTACCCGTACATCAGAAGGAATGGAAAGTTCTCTGAAGCGTTGGTTGGTGAACTCTCTGAAACCTTGCCAGTTAGCTTTCCTATGGTTAAGGAAAGTGCCATAGGAATTGTTCGAAGTGTTGCAAACGGATTGACTCCACCCTATGGAGATTGAGAGATAGCATGAAAACTATTAAGCAGGGTGGGAAAAATGATTAAAATACACTCTTTCTTACGAATGCTCACGGGCGAGAATTCGAATGTTTTCAATTTATCGCGAATGATGAAGTTAGAATGAATGCACAAGCATTTGCATTCTCTCGCGAATTTTCGCATTGTACGAAAAATTCACGAACGATAAAATTTCGCTGCAAGCGTCGTTGATTCATTCTTTCGCGAGCATTCTTTTCTGAAGAATATTCTTTTGAAAAACTAATAAAACAAATGTTCGCGAATTCTCGCGAGCACTGTTAAAAACAACAACAAACAAAAATATCATAAAAACACACACAAACTATGAAAGAATGTGTGTGGAACAGCGGTCAGCATCAAATACATATGCACTTGTTTGGTCACACAGACACAAAGTGTGTGAGAGTAACTCTTGCTCTCTCGAAAAACTTCATCTGCAATAATACATTGCTACGATCAAAATCATGAAAACAAGCGATAACACAACCGCCTTCATCAACAGCTGAAACGAGACTGATCGGTGGTTTTTTTCTATCACGAACGTTTGTTGTTATTGTTGTTGCCGTTTTGAGCATTCTCTTGTTATCATTTGTGAGAGAATGTCAGAAAGAATTTCAACCACCAAACGAAACGAGCGAACGTTGTTGGGTGCTCTCATTCGTTTTTATGTGCGTGCGAATATTCTTTGACGAATGCTCGTTTGGTAAAGAATTTATCACCATAAATTCATTCTTAAAATGAGCAAAACACGAAATTCTTTACATATTGAACTTTGTTAAACAATTTTAAATTTTACCTCACATTAAAAACAGGGAAAGCGTGTCAGCTGATTTCAACAGTGTAGATGTGTACTCTATGTTATGAGAATTATTGATAAATAGGCCAAGTAGAATAAAGGTGAATACGTAATTAAAATAGCCGGTAACAGGTTTCTAATCATAGTTCATTGGCAGGTTTTTAATCATAAGCTACAGTTTTTTATGTATATGAGTGTCATTCAAATGTCTTACCTAAATAACTTTTGATGAAGAACATAAGCACTCACATGACCAGCATCTAAATATCTTATTTCAGCACCTGGCCATATTTCTTCTAAGCTCGTGCATCCATCTCTTGGTACATATGCGTCGTCTTTTGCACATACTGCAATTATTAAAGAAGTTTCCTTTGGAACCGAAAAGTTCTTTAAATGTGTGCACTCGTCCATCATTCCTCTCATAAATTGTAATGCTTCTCGCTCCCACCAATTTATTTTGGTAATATCAATCTTTTCTTCCGAACTAGGCTTCGGTAGTATCAATTCCATCAACTTCGTCAACGAATTAGTATCAACCTCGTGTTTTTCCACATTGCCATCAATTCCTGAAAGTTTGTCACTCTGCATCATTTGTGTATACTTTATATCTTTTTTTAATTCAATTAGTGATTGATTGAAATTTTTTATAAATGTTTGTCCAGCTGTAAAAGCGTCATCAATAACAGTGACCATTTTGGACAAACGTTCGCGGTATTTTCCGTCAGAGTAGTATTGCGTTTCCAACATATCCCAATTAATAGACTGGCTCATTACGCCCTAGAAAATAAAAGTAATGTTTATGTAGTTTATAATAATTGTTTTTCTAAAACTATGTGTAAAATTAAAATTAATTAACAGGGTCGTACCTAAATTCATGCGTATGCGTACGATTTTATTCACCTCAAAAGTTAAATATATCTATTTCAATGAATGTTACCCAAATACGCTTTGCGTATCAAAATATATGTATTTTCATCTTTGCGTATTTGGGTAATACGGACGTCTATCAAACCCTAAAAAGGTGAGTATTTTTGTACGGAGCGCAATAAATTAGGTACGACCCTCAAATATTTGACGCAAAGTGGTGAATATTTCTTTGTCAAAATCTGATAACAAAATGGTTTCAATGGCAAACACAATACCAGTTGATGTTTGGAAATTCTTTGGCAGCAAAGAAATTGAGCAATGTGCTCAAAAAGAGAATTTTTAGTTAGTTTTTCTCTTTCGACTCGAGCTTAATGATCGAAGGCTTGCCATGAAAAGGATTGCAATGGGTGGGCTCAAATGTGAGATATATATATATATATAGGGGAGACTGGGGCAACTTTGGCAATCGCGTTTTCGATATGAAGCTCTCACCGCACATCACTAGTTTCGATACATAGGTATCGAATATCGAAATAAATAACTGACACAAAATTTGGAATTTACAGCTAATATTTAGATACATAGGTTTTTGTATTTTTATAGATGTTTCTGTAATATTTCAATCCCATTTCGTAAGTATTTTGTGTATAAAACTTTTAAAATTGTTAAGACAATATTATTAAGAAGTGGTTAACTACGATGTGTATTATTATAAAAATATTTAAAAATATAATGTGTTTACAAATCTGATCGAAAAAAATTAAAAAAAAAAAAATCAAACATTGTGTGGCGTATTAAAACCAAATAGAGCCTTTAGAGCATCAGAATTTCAACCAGACTGATAGCGATGACTATGGTGCCGAATGTGTCCCATCAAATGCCAAAGCTACCCCGGGTAGCTGTAAAATTTTTTAACTAATACTATTTTTTCATACCTTTTTGGTACTATTTTTTATAATTAAGTTTCAGAGGACAATAATCAGCCATAAAGTTGTTATATATGTTGAAGAAGTACTGAGATATAGAGCTCTAAAAAAAGTGCCGAAGGTGTCCCAGTCTCCCCTATATATATATATAATTTTATTGATTGTCATGATAACGGTAAATAGGTTTTGTTTGTGGCTAATAAAATCAATTTTTTTTTATTTTGGTTTCTTTGACAAGTAATATAGGAAAAGTGTTTGTAAAAAGTTCATATATTAATTTTATCAGATAGTTGGGATGTGCGACTTTTATATGTAATTTTTCCCATTAATATTATTTTGTATAAGGTCCAATTTGTATTTTAAAATAAACACTCCGAGGAAGTTACTCGTTTTATTATTCCCTTTTTTATTTTATTGCAATTTTAAGAGTGTCTTAAATGTGATAAACCACCCCAAAGTAACATTCATACATTTTTGTAATGCGGAGGATAAAACCAAAAACCAAAGTTAAAAAATGATAAAAACCATTAAATGACCTTAAATCCGATGTAGAGCTATATGGGGACTATATAAAAACGTGGACCTATATAAGTTATATTCATACCTATACATACCTGTACACATTAGCTATTTTAATTTTTAATGTTCTATATACATATTCGGGTTAAAGTTATTAATTTTTCACCGCTAGATATTAATTTTGTTAAGCGGCTCATCCGGCATATTTGGCTATGTGACTTTACATATGTCGTATGATGAAAAATTGAATTAATATCGAAGTTTTTGCGAAATTGCATCTGCAAATTTTGACATTTGTCTTCACTCCACACCTTTTTCAAATGTTATTCAAAGCATTTCAATTGCAATTGGTGAATTTCATTTGTAACTCGAGAACTCAATTTGCAAATCATAACATTACAATTGTAATTCTAGAAAATAATGGTTATTTACAACATTTCATTTGTAATTTTAAACTTTTCATATGAAACTTTTCAATTTAAACTTTTTTAATGTCAACAAAAAGCCAATACACTTGTCGTAAGTGTCATTGACTTTAGACCATAACTCTTGAAGTTCCGAGCTTCGAATTTCAAGATTTCAAATAGTATGACTTTCTGGCTACAGCATGTGGAACGAGGCAATAAATTTGACCATATTATCAGAAGCCCGAATAAATTGTGTCAATGGAGTGACCGACATGATTTAAGACAACTATACAATAAAAGCGGATGGATAAAATTTGAAAAACTCAAAAATTACTATTTTCTGTTTAAGGTCGACTACAGCCGAATGTAGGGAACACACAGTCGAATTTGGGAAAAATTCGACTGTAAGTCGATAGGAACGACTAAAAACAAAAAATTTTGTGAAATTTCCAAGAAAAAGGAACAAAAATTGGCGAAAATAATTTGAAAAACGCAATTTCCGACAGTAGGGTGCACGAAATTTCAAATTATACTATAATTTTACAGCCAAATAATTTTTGGTGTAAGAGCAAATAAATATTTTCGCAAAAAATTACAAAATTTTTCAATAAAAATGCCCAAGAAGAGTTTTTAATTAACCACAAATTAATGCTTTATATGAGCTTGTAGAATGCCGAAAGTAAGGTTTTTAATTAACCACAAATTAATGCTTTGAATGGGCTTGTAGAATGCCGAAAGTAGGGTACTTTTTATTAAAAAATCCAAAAATCAACCATAGACCAACAAATATAACAACCATTTTTTGTTAAATATTTTTAAAAATATTATTTATTAAAAATTCACAGTTTTTACCACGCACCCACTGTGCAGTGGTGAATAACGAATACCGCACAAAAAGGGAATAAAACACAAGCAGTGTTGAGTGAGCGGCTAAAGCTAAGGTCACACTACGCAAATATTTGACTCAAATGTCTATTTTTTGTTTGCAGAAAAAAATTTCAAATTTGCACACTCTTGATTTTGTGTTCACATAACACTCAAATATTTGACACATTTTGTTTGCTCAAACAGTGAGCAAATAGTGTCAAATAATCAAATGGGAAAATATGTTTGACGTGTGGTCACATTGGAAAATATATTTGCACCATGAAACAGTTTGATCAAACTGTCAAAAAGCATAAATTTATTTGCCAGCAAATATAGAGAGTAATTATGGCCAACTTCGATTATTTTTTTAATCCTGTCGTATTTTTTATAAGTTATTAATAAGGTATTTTATGCAATTGTTCTAAATAGTACAATATCATCATACCCCTACGGAATCCGCTTATATATTAAATCGGATGTAACGTATATATGGAGGATGTAGCTAGATCTTGTCAGGATTTGAATTATGAATGAAATAATTTGCGGTTAAATTCAGCCGTGCCGAACGTTTTAATAACTACCACTAAATTAGATCCCATTTGGTAATAAAATTCGGATTGTACCAAATGGGGCGGGACCTTTGTATGGAGAATTTGTCAAAACTCCATGTTTGTCTAGACCATATGTCGAGATTTGAGAATTGTATGTGACGAGATAATTTACCAAAATAAACGTTTTTACTTAATATAATTCCCAAATGCAAAACACGCCCACACCGCTTGAAAATATGTTTAAAACCTACAACAGATCGAAAACCGGGCTTTGTCATTATATCGCAGCTACATATATACAAATGTTGACCTGTGTTGAACATTGCGAGGCGGTGTCTTCCCCAAAAAGAATTCGAAATGCCAATATTAAGCTTATTCGGTTTGAAAGTGTACCTAGGACCTGATATTATGTTTTTCACTAATAAAAATGCCATATTTAATTGGATAAAGTGTCAAAAATGTTTTGTTTTCCAACAAAATTACGGAATTCCAACAATATAAATGCCGACACAATGAATTCATCAGCTGTTACTTTTCATTGTGTGCCCGTACAAAAATATTGTAAGGGCAAATAATTGTTTGCCCAAAAATAAGGCAAATATTTGCTCATATTTTAGCTACATTTTCCAACATATTTGATTGAAATTTGGTATTTTGAGTAATCAATGGCCAAGACAACACCAAACAAAAAATGCTCAATAACGGTCCACGTTTTCTTATAGTCCTAATATAAAGGTACCACTCGATGCATTTGTGTGTTAAAATTAGTGTTTTAGAAAAACTACATAATTATTTATAAATGTATATTTATGTCAACATAAAGCCATTAACTTCAACCTCCATAATCGGTATAGTTAATTTGGTGTATTTATTACTTTTATGTTATCTTTACTTAAGCAACCACACTCACTTATAAGACTTGTATTTCTAAAGTTCCGACAGAAACCAACAAAATAACTTTAGAGTAGTTAAATTTGGAGGCATTAGAGACAATTTGTTTCCATACTGATCCAAATTATTGTTTTCGATTTTTTTTATTTTTGTCGTATGGGTGGAACCAGTGTGCAATGGTGATATGACGACAGTCGGGCTGGATAGGGGTAGCTCGAGACCCCTGATAGTCTCTGCCGTCTATCTCCACTATGAACAACACGAGAAGTGAGTCCATTTTAGATTTTATACTTAGTTATAATCTTAGAATATGTAATAGGGGCAATACACCAACCTTCGTTAATAGATTGAGAGGTGAAGTCATCGACATAACCCTCACTAATATGGACGACTCTGGGGTTATGAACTGGGAAGTATCTGAGAAATGCTTCTTTTCGTACCATAGACTGATATTTTTCCAGATTCCTACCTCCAGAGGTAAACAGAAGCCTTATAGGAATGCTCGGAAAACAACTGGGACAAATTCAAAGCCAAAACAGCATCCTCAAACCTGGGTCATAAAGATATCAAAACGGTTGAGGATGTTGAGGAAGCTGTGAACAATGTCACGACCACTCTTCTGAAGAGCTATAAGGCCTCATGTCCTCTAACATACCCTGGAGTCCTCTGGCTACACCTTGGCAGCATTTTCGATATTGATGGAGCTTTCAACAATGTGAAGCTAGAGGCCATCCATTCTGCTCTCGTAA